CCCTTTCTCTGGCCTTTCCGAATTGCGTTCACCGCACCATTTCGTTATATTCCTTATCTCCACGAACATGTCCTCCCCTCTCGCCCCCCCCCCTCTCTCTCTCTCTCTCTCTCTTTCCCTCTCTCTCTCTATCTCTTTCTCCCCCCCCCCTCTCTCTCTCTCTCTCTCTCTCTCTCTTTCTCTGTCTCTTGAAAGCGAAACGTTGAACAAGTGATTAAATTTTTGGAAATACTACCAGGTCTTAACAGTTTTAATATCTAATCTGCTTTATTGAATGATGATGATGGTACGATGATGATGATAATTATTTTTGTGACATATTACATAGTTTGTAGAACTATGGCCTTGGAATGAAATCATGAATAATAATAATATTGTTTTCCTTTTCACATATGTAAAATTAAGGAAAATGTTATATGTTCTATTAATATTGTTATACTTGCATTGGAAACAGATAAACATTATGAAGCACAATAGCCCCAGCTCGGTCCGACGTTTTGTTCTTGGGAAAGATACTATACATGAATTTTCTATTTGGCCCGCTCCTTTCGGAGATAAACGTTAAACACGTAGGTACCACCTCTTGAATATCCTAATAGTGTTGATAGGGGTGTTAAGCCTATACCATTTCACCATTTTCAAAGCAAATATGACTCTTTGCTGGCGAATGATTGTCGTAGAACCAAGTACTCTCAATACTTTTTCTGCCGCTTGTACCGGTGGGAGTCGCGGGGAGACACAGGCGTCCGTCTGCAGGAAGGCGAGTGACCTGTAGGAGGGACATCCCGTGAGCTCCGAGGGTATCTGCCACAGATTCACTCCATCGTCGCCTTGGTCTTCCTCTGGCTCTCCATCCTGAATATTTAGTGTTGCATGCTCTCAGAGCTGGATGGTTTGAGGGCATCCGCGTGAGGTGTCCGAACCACAAGTACTCTCAATAACCTTCCTTTAGTTATGCATCCCGTATTCAATTTTCAATTGACTGACAAACATCGAATTTTTACAACTACCTTCTTTGACTTGAAAAACCCAAGACGAGTTAGAAATGGCCTAAAACAGTGTGTGACGGTAGGTTCTTGTCTGTTTCAGCTTGTGATGCTGGGTATGGCCATGAGCTCAAGCTTCTGGGGGACCATGTGTGACAAGTATGGGAGGAAGGCGGTGAGTCTACTTGTGTGTGTGTGTGTGTGTGTGTGTGTGTGTGTGTGTGTGTGTGTGTGTGTGCGTGCGAGCGTGTGTGAATGTGTTTGTGTGTGTATGTGTGTATGAGTGTTTGTATGTATCCATCTGTTTGTTTCTTTTTGTGTACGATTGTGCATGTGAAGTATGTTAGACCTTGTTACCCTGAGTGGAAAAACGCTCCATTTGTTCGTTGAAACATTACCATAAGAAATAAGAACCATGGATAGCTAGCGTGTAACTTTTGCAATCCAATTGTCGATGTTTTAAGCCTTACTATAACGCTGTAAAGTTCGACGGAGCAATTCGATTCTAAAATTTCCTCTTCACACAAGAATCAATAATTAATTTTTATGCAGTACTTCAGACTTTTTTGCTGGGAGGTTGTATCTCTCTCAGCCAGGGTTGACCTTGACAGGCAGGGTCAACGCCCGACTTGCAATGATCTGACTTACGTCGACAGGAGCGTAAATACACCTACATCGTAAAAGAAATGAACGCTTTGACACGCAGACACGGACGATTTAACCACATCGCTAACCACCATTTTCGTTTACTTCGTTCCAATAAGGTCGGAACAGCCTGCCTCCTAAATGATGTAAACTCTTTTTGGTGTAAAAAAACGATTACAATTGTGAGGCGTGCTGACAAAATGAGGTACTTCTCACAATCCACAAATGCAGATATTGGCCAAAAAATCGACACTAGGGACACATTTCTAGGTTTTGTATTGATGGAATATCCATTGAGTACTAAATGCCTTTTGTTATTTCAGACTTGTAAATTGTAAAAACTCAACCCATTAGCATGATAATGTATCTATTTTCATAGGGCTCAAATCCAAGAAGTAACTCATTTTGTCAGCACGCTTCACAATTACATTTACTCGCCCGCTGTTTACGGGTCAAGTGGAGTGAAGAATACACGGAAAGCAACAAAACATGTAATTTTGCATGTTTAAAGCTTATAATTACATTTTAGTAACAAGTTATTCTAAGTATAACTAACGACATCTGTCGTCTTTGCGGTTTGTGAACAAAAAAAAAAAAGAGAGAGAGAGAGAGAGAGAGAGAGAGAGAGAGAGAGAGAGAGAGAGAGAATGCAATAAACAGAACTGTATGAACACGGACTACTGTAGAATTATTATTGTTTTATTTGCATAGGATAATAACATGAATTGGTCCACTATCTTTCTTATTTTCTCTGTCTCTGTCTCTGTCTCTGTCTCTGTCTTTCACTTTCTTTGCTGTTTCTCTCTCGTTTTCCCATCTCTACATTTCTTTCCTTATCCCCCCTCTCTCTGTCTCCTTCTCTATCTATCTATCAATCTATCTATCAATCTATCTATCAATCTATCTATCAATCTATCTATCTATCTATCTATC